GGCGGGCTTTGCGATGAGCCTCAGCTCAAAAGCAAGGGAGACTCAGCCCTGATGTTCTTTAACCGCTCACCGCCGGTCCCAGGTTCCTCGCAGCCCCGAATTGAGTCTGCCTTTGCCCTCCTGAAACACGCTTTTGACACCTCCCCCCTCCAACAATTACCGTTGACCCTAGAAAGTGCTCTGTCTGCTCCGCTCAACCTTTTGGAAACAGAAAACTTAGGGGAAAATCCAGCTTCCGAGTTACAATCCCTGAGAAGGGGCTTAGGAAACAAGGACACGGACTTTAGTGGCCCCTAAGTGTGCAAAAAGGAAATGAGAACGTTTTCCCTTTGACGAATTGAATTATTTTATATAAAACCGGGTTGAACAGGGCTGCATTCTAGTAGCGTCTCTCCTTTGCACTATGAGTGCACATGGGGCACTCTCTGCCCCTTGGGTGGGCCAGGGGATGTCCAGACATTTTCTGGGTGTCTCCAGAAACCTGTCTTGGATGCTCCTAGGTCAATCAAGGTTTTTGACTTTGGGCCCAGCCAAAAACTGCCTGCTTTTCCCAGGAACGAGTGGATTTTTACAAGGGCCAACTTGCAGACTGTCGAGCAGCTATACCCCACCCCCACCTTGCCTTCTGAGTCTGCCTTAATTAGGGGGTTGGGAGCCCGAGTTCACGTAAAAGCTGTCAGAGGAGTTGGAGGAAGGGGGAGATGGAGACGGAGGGCTAGAGAACTCCAGCGCAGGAAAAATTCAAAAATCGTAAAAGGAAAGGGGGAACTTGAAGCCCAGAAGTCATTGTTTCCTTTATTTCAAAGGGAAAAACCTGCCCAATTCTCATCCTTTTGATTGATTAAGGCCCTGAATACCTCGCAGGCCCAGAGTGACAGTCCCTGAATAGACTCCAGCGAATAAAGCGCAGTGCAGAGTGCAGGGCTGGCACTCGGGAGTGTAAAGGAGGCGAGTTCGCTGGCACTTACCAAGTTATAAATAAAAGGCTATGCACAATGGTACCTTCACTAAGGACAGACAGTCTTTACAACACTCCTGGCGTCATATCCTGCTGGGGACACTTCAGCTCTTAGCCAAGACTTTGCTCCTTTTATTTTTTTTTTTCCAGCAGTTTAGTCTGAATACCATAATAAATTCCTGAGAACAAATGCTGCAGCCGGGCAAAACCTTAACATATAGACGCATCTCTGCCATCGCATTGGGATCTATGCATTGAGATTTAGAGCTAGGGCTTTCTCAGGATGGTATTTTCATTCTAGAGGAGGAGATGGTTTGCTTCCTCCTCCCCTCCCCAGCCTTCAGCTAGGAGTCCTGGGCCTCCCCAGTCTGCCCCTGCCCTTAGACTGAAGACAAAAGAACTGATCTGCACAGCCTGGACTCCTCTTGAGAGGAACCCCACAGGGAGGACCCCTTAACAAACCTAGGCCAAGGGGCAATGACCAGAGGAAGGCAGGCTCGACATGCTGGGGGCTTCCAATGCTTTCCTATTGAAATTGCAGCCATTCCAGTGGCAGTAAGCCAAGAAAAATGAGAGAGAGAGAGAGAGAGAGAGAGAGAGAGCGCGAGCGCAAAAGCACCAGCAGGTAGAAAAAGAGAGACATAGACACCCAGAGAGGAATAGAGTCAGAGTCGGAGAAAGACACAGAGATAACACTGAGCGAGACAGAGACAAAGAGACAGAAAAATAGAAAGCAAACGACAGACACACATAGAGTGACAGAGACAGGGACTCCTCTCTGCTGTCAGCAGCTGTCAGCTCCCTCAGGCTCTCTGTCTCCCAGTTTCCACGGGTCTACGCTTCTCTCCCGGGGAAGGGGCACAGAGCGGGTCCCTCTGGGACCGGCCGAGGCCTCCACACCGCCGACGATGGGAAGAGAAAGTGGCCGCTGTCGCCCAATCAGCGCGTGTCTCCGCCACCCGGGACGGTCTCCCCATCGGCCAATCGCAGCTCAGGGCTCCTGACCAAGCTTTGGGTGAAAGAACTAATAAATGCTCGCGAGCCCGGATCCCCTCACTTGGTGTCACTACGAGAGGAAACTCCGGCCAGCCGCGCTCCCGCCCCCAACCCCTTCCCCGGCTCGTCGCGGCGCTGTGATCCTTCTCCCCAGCGCCCCCAGCCTCTGTGCCACTAGCCCAGCCTCCCACCAAACTTTTTCGCCCTGGGCTCGAGATCCTGGACTCAGGGGCCTCCCAGCCTGCCCCCTTTCCCGGCTTCACCTCGAGCTTCTCCCTGGACTAGGAGCGAGCAGTCCCCCTGCCCTCGGCCTTCCCTCTCTCGCCAGCCTTTTCTAGGGAGGGGGTCTCCACGCTCGGGGGAGTTCCCGAGGGTCACCGGCATCGCGCTCGCCTTTCTGTCTCGCCTCTACCTGGATATAATTTCCAAGAGAAGCTGCCACCAGGATGACCACGCTGGCCGGAGCCGTGCCTAGGATGATGCGGCCGGGCCCAGGGCAGAACTACCCGCGCAGCGGCTTTCCTCTGGAAGGTAAGGGCCTCCGCGGCGCCGGGGCTGCTCCGCCCTCCTTGCGCGCTCTGTGGGCTCCTGCGGCGCGCCCAGAGACCCCCATTCCCTGGCACCCCCCACCCCAGAAGGAAACAGTCGGGGCGAGATCCGCACCCGACTTTCTCTCTGCAAACGAAAACACAGTTCTCTCCGCAAAGTTCTTGCAGAGCTAGGCGGCCAGGCCTGCTCCGAGCGGGTCCACTTTCTCCTGTTGTTTTGGAAAAGCCGTGGTGGGGAAGGAATGAACCAGCTTCCGAGCACCAGAGAGCAACGTCCCCGCATTTTGTGCACCCAAAGGCATTATCAAAATTGTCCCGGCTGCACTCACATTTGCTAAACTCTTGTTAGTTCTGGAAGAATTTTCTTGCCCCTGCAAAGTTGTGGTGGTGGACACCGCGCGACATCGTGCTTGGGATTTTTAGCATTAATGTGTCATTATTTACAGTTTCATTCATCTTAAACGGCATCTTGAAGGTTTCTTCATCCGTTTGGGAAAATTGCCTTTCAGTCACCTTAAGGGTCTGGGAATCCCGGAGACAGGAAGTTTTGCGAGCCCAAACTTTTCTAGACAGTCTGAGAGTTGGGCATCCCAGGGGGGAAACCGATGTGGGGGCGGGAGGGGGGGGGAAACCCCTGCCCTTCCCTTCGCCCTCGGTCCAGAATAGATTATAATACCCAGAGCATGAATGGAGGCCTGCGATCAGACGCGGCTGCGTCTCTGTCCCAAGGTGTAACAGGTGACATGCGCTGCCACCTGCGGCCTTATTTTGGGACCCTCTTTGATCATTGGCTGGTGTCCTCTTAGCTGGAAACCCCGAAGACTGCCAGTTCCTCCATGTCCCTTAGAAAGGGAGCAGCCCCAATTGGACAGGGTTTGATGTGAGCAGAAGGCCAGCGTCCTGGTGAACTTCTGTCTGCCAGGAGGCTGCTTCTTGAGCAAGATACACTTTGTGCCAGCCCCAGGGTTACCCTGGTTCTCTAGAGATGCCACCTCTTGGACCTCAAAGAAAGACAGTTTTTCTGGGGCAAGTTATTTTGCCCTGGTTGTTCCCTTCACACGAGATTATGTGGCCCTGAATTGCTTAATAATTTGAACAAATGTGATTGACAAAGGGTCTGGGGCTGGGAACCGGATGTCGAGCAGTTTTAGTGCTGAGGCTGTAACAGGCGCGTTGGCCCGAAGAGTGCCAAGTTAGGTGGGCCCATCTTTAGCGGGGCTGCTCTCGATTCCCCCTAAATGACTCCCTTTGCCTTTCTTTTCACCTTCTTCTCCCAGTGTCCACTCCCCTCGGCCAGGGGCGCGTCAACCAGCTGGGCGGTGTGTTCATCAACGGCAGGCCGCTACCCAACCACATCCGCCACAAGATCGTGGAGATGGCCCACCACGGGATTCGGCCCTGCGTCATCTCCCGCCAGTTGCGCGTGTCCCACGGCTGCGTATCGAAGATCTTGTGCAGGTACCAGGAGACAGGCTCCATCCGTCCCGGTGCCATCGGTGGCAGCAAGCCCAAGGTGAGCCAGCGCGCAGGGCTCTGGTGGCTTCTGGGCCTGCAGTCGCCAGGTTTAGGGCAGAAGGGGCAGGGGGCAAAGACTGCCATTCGGGGCTTTCCAAAGAGTTATTTTTCAAGTCTGGGAAGAGGTGCGTGCGTTGGTGAGGTGTGTGCTGGGGGTGTGGTGGGTGTGGTGGAACTTGGTTGCTGCCTGAGGGACTCTCCTTGATAAATGCTAGTGGAAAACTCTAGCCCTTTTGCAAAGAAGATGGAGCATTTATAAAATGCCCCAATCCTGTAATTCCTCTTCAAACTGTCTTACTAGGCAAACAGTAAGCCCTATGTGCCCACCTGTTGCTGGCTTCTTCCCCAAGTATCTTCCAAGCTCCCTCACCTACTGCACTACACTTTCCAAAACTAATCTAAGAAGCAATTTTTTTTTAAAAAATGATTTCTCTCTTAACTCCGGTCCCAAGTCTCCTCCAATCCAAATTTTCTTCAAGGAGCTGGGTGGTTTGTTTTCTGTGTAATAAGCTGATGACTGGACTTTAAAAAAGCAGTTTGGTGCTATCCTAGAATTATTTTAGTTCCCTTTAAAAACAGATGAGTGAGAGGGGGTTACATAGGATCTGCCTGTTCTTCTGGATGTGGGGGAAATGCAATACAATTTTCTAGTTGCCACAGGACAAAATCAAAAGGAGCGTTCTGGTAGACTTAAGCCTTCCAAACACCCTGCTTGCCTCTTGCCACCCCAATGCCCTTGCAACCTAAGAATCTCTGGAAACCCTTTTAAGTGGAAAAAAAGAGAGACAGTCTCTCAAATTATCTATATTTGTAATCCACACTAATTTTTAAAAACTTAGACCCTCACCTTTTGCATTTCATTTTGTTCTTCGCTCTAGCTAAAATCTTGTGCTTCTTTGAAGAGGCACAAGTTGCAGATCTAACTTGATGTTTCTGCTCCCCTTTCAAGCATGCTTTTTTTTTTAGTTTCGTTTTGTGTGTGTGTGTGTGTGTGTGTTGATTCTGTGTAAGGCATTGCTTTTCTTTATTTCCGAGGATCAGAAAGTGCACCTCTCCTCCTGCAAGTGTTGTGGCTCTTCCATATTATCCTGATTGTCCAGGCTTATCTTGGAGAAGGAGGATCCCTAGGCTGCTCCGGGTGGGTGGGACGATTTCTTGTTTGCTCTTAGCGAAAAGCAAACTGCCTCCGAGAGTCCGGGTCTTTTTGCTAACAAGGGGGACCGTCCCAGGGGCTGTTGGAAGAAGCATCTGGCCTGGCCCTGTGGAGTCGGTGGAGCTGCCACATTTGGCTCAGAGGACCGGGTACCAACACCTGCCTGCCTGTTCTCTTAAAGCAGGTGACAACGCCTGACGTGGAGAAGAAAATCGAGGAATACAAAAGAGAGAACCCGGGCATGTTCAGCTGGGAAATTCGAGACAAATTACTCAAGGACGCGGTCTGTGATCGAAACACAGTGCCCTCAGGTACCAGGCCCGTTCACGTCTTCCTGAGGCACGGCCAGCGTTCGCTATTACCCGGGCGTGTCGCCGAGCCACAGTCGCCCCCGTGATTGATCTGGGCCCTCGGAAGGCGCCCTCCCCCCACCCCCGGGCTCTGAGATATTCTCGAACCAGGCGTTCTTGGTGCTTTACGATGGGAGCTGCTTGTCTTGGGGTTGAGACCGCCGTGGAGGTCTTCCCAAAAAGAATTTCTGTCGAGGAAGCAGGGCAGGAAACGCGAGGCGGAGGCCAAGCGTTTATTAATATTGATGTTCCCTTTTAAAGAGAAACAAATGTTTTGGTAACCCCAACCGAAGGGAGATGGGGCCGCGCCTGCCCAGGCTTTGCCGTGTGCAAAAGGGTGGGGAGGCTTCGTGATCCGCCCTCAGTGTTCCGGAGGGTCCCAGGGACCATCCCGCGCCCGCGCCAGCCGGAGGGAGGCGGAGGGAGAAAGAGGGGCGAGCGCGAGGGCGCGCGGGGAGAGTTTGTTTTTAATTAAAAAAGGAAACTCCCTTTTCTCCCCTGCGAGAACGAGATATTTCAGAGCATGGATTTGTTTACCACACTGGAATCTGGAAAAAATAAATGGGAGAGAATGCATTTTCTTTTTGATTTTTACAGTAGGAAACGATTCTGCAGTCGAAATTTAAATCCTTTATAGCTTCAAAAAACAAACAAACAAACAAAAAGTTGAATTGCAGGGGACGGGCGTGCTGTGGTTTTTTCCTCCCTAAACGCGAACCGTGGGGCCTAATGTCTTCAGGTGTGTGTATGTGGGGAGGGGGAGGGGTGCAGGAGGGTTCGTCGGAGAAGTCTCTGGGGTGGGAGAGGTAGAGCCTCGTCTATAGAGTCTAGAAGGGAAACGCTTCCGGGAGAGACGACAGACACGGCAGTTTCCGGCCCTAACTTCGAGGTGTGAGCTTCCCAGGCTTTCGTCTCCCCATTCCTAGATGTTGATTATGGGGTGGGGGATTTGAATGAGAGGCCGAGGGGGCGGTAGAAGGACGAGGAGGCCCCAGGAAGCAGGAGGAGGCACAAGCAGGCTGGGCCGGGCAGCCACTTTTGGGGACAGGCTGGTGGGGGTGGGGGCTCCCTCCAGCCCAGAACTGCAAGTCTCAGTCGTCTGCGCTCTCTCCCTCCACCCGCCTCCAGTGAGTTCCATCAGCCGCATCCTGAGGAGTAAATTCGGGAAAGGCGAAGAGGAGGAGGTGGACCTGGAGAGGAAGGAGGCAGAGGAGAGCGAAAAGAAGGCGAAGCACAGCATCGACGGCATCCTGAGCGAGCGAGGTAAGAGGCGGCGCGCTCGGGGCCCCAGCCGGCGCCGACAGCTGCGCCCTGACGCCGGACACGCGAGGGCGGCCAAGTCCCGGCTCGTGTCAAGGTCCTCCTCGCTCGTACCCGCTGCACCCGGGTGAGGGCCTCCGCGTGAGGGACCAGCACGCACTTGCAGTGAAAACAAACACGCGTTCTGGTTACTTTCTCTATAATCTTTCTTCGCACCACCTCGAGTCCCCACCCCCGTCCCAGGAATCTAGAACTAAGAATTGCACTTTGGGCGCAGGGCCGCTCTAGCCCTCAGACATACGGGACTGGGCGTCTTGGAGCGATTGGGGGGTTGGGGACAGTCCGTGAACCTCTAGAGGTTGAAGGAACTTTTGCGCCCTCAAGAAAGGCCGGGATCTCCAAAGAGTTTTCCACTTAGAGGAGGGCATGGAGGGAAGGAGGAAAGGGGGAGAGAGAGAGAGAGAGAGAGAGAGAGAGAGATATGGATGGAGGGAGAGACTCAAAACTTTTAAAAGCAGTGGGCCCCCTAAGTTGTATCACATCAGCTGCCTTATAAATGTGTGTGTAAGTTGGCTGTTTTTTTCTTTGTTTTAAATTGGTTTTCAAATGCGATGGAGTTTGATTTGTTATGTCTGGGAAATATAATCAGCATAAGCTCTGGGTTACAAACTGAGGGGACTTGGGTCTTGGGCTCGCAGTGCTGGCACCCTCTCTGCCCAGGTGTGCGGACGCCTGCTCTCCTGTTGGCTCTGACCTGTCAGCATCAAGAGAAAATCTCTCGTAAGGGCAGCCTGCTTTCCTTTTACAGGCTGCAGGTCATCTTCGGGTTGTAAAGGCATCGCCCCCAAAGGAAAGTCAACTCCATCGAGTTGCAGCAGGGGAGCCGAGGGTTTTGGCCTTGGGGGTGGTTGTACCTCACTTCAAATGCGAAAAGGGCCCCGAGTCACCGGGGTGCCCCCACCCCCCATGCCTGGCGCTCCCTTGTCTTCGGCCTGGATTTCGCTGGCCTGACTTGAATTCTGAGCTGCTCTTCAGGTGGGCTCAGAATGGCCACACACTGAGCACAGCTGGGCCAGGGCCCTCGGCCCGGTGGCGTCCCCATAGGACTGTGGCTGCGAAACTGGTCCCTTCTTGGACCTTCATTGCCAGACTGCTGGACCGACTGCTGGCTTACCGGAACAGCAGCTTTCCAAACCAATGAAAAATCTGTCCACAATCGCGAAGGGAACACTTAGATTTAGATGTTACAAATTCAAATAGTTGATTTTGGGAGAAACAGAAGCCTCAATGCTCTGGCACACACAGGGAATCGAGAACACCCCCCCCCCCAAAAAAATATCATGGCACTTTGCTTGCCTCCCTTTAAAGCATGGGTCTCACATGGTTTCGATTAAGCCCCTCCTGTTTTGGGGGGGCGTGCAGTCCTGCCCTAGGCCCTGAGAAGACACCCCGACTTTTATTCCAGGCCTAAATACGGCATAGAGGTGTTGGAGGAGGGAAGAAGGTGAGAAACGAGCCAACCCCAAACCCAGCAGGCCCCTGTGGGCAGCGAGGCCTGGGGACCGGAGCCCCTGGCCTCAGAGAGGCCAGGACAGGGTCGGGGGTGGCTCGGCTTTGCTGCGTGTTGCCGGAGGCGCCGGCGCGGTAGATCGGCGAGGCTTCCTCGCAGCACAGGCAACCAAGGCCCAGGAGACAAAACGCCTCAAATGAGCTGGTCAAACATTTGTACAACTTTTCCAGCTTTTACAAAGAAGGCCTTCTCTACACAATCTACACTTGGAGATGAACTTGGGAGACAAAGCCTGGAGAGTCCATTGAAACTCACACTTTAGCTGGGCCTAGACAAAGCTCCGGCTAGCAGCAGCTTGATGTGAACAAAGGAAGGCAACCTTTTTATAATTCAAGGAGAAAAGAAGAGAAAACAGCTCCACAAAGGGCGGCGAATAGACATTATGGGCTTGCAATGAGGGATGAATTATTCAATGAGCCCCAATAGCTGCTGCGCCAGGAAGTTTTATGGACTCTGCAGCGTGGAAAAAGTGGCCATTTCACCTACAAAGTGCTCCTGGTCTTTTGGGCCGGCTCGCTGGAACGGCCGCCATTCAAGGGCAATCGCTACCATTTTTAAAATCAGAGTTTTCTCCCCAGCGGGAGCTGTGCAGTGGAAAACATACACACCTCCGAGGCTGAAGCCTAATTTAATTTAGGGTTGTCAAGGATGATGCAGCGTCCGTCTCTCCAGTGCCTCTAGCTCCATTTCCAGATGAGCCCTGGAGGGCGAGAGGGGCCCAGAGACAGGAGAACGAACTGTATGTAGTTCGAAGAGAAGTTTAGAAACCTCGAAAAATCCCCTCTGTCGTCTGGACGTCAAAAGTCACAGGTCACCCCGCTTGTAAAATAGAACGAACGTTGATAAAGGGCTTTGAGCGCCCTGGCCAAGGAGGGGCATCGGATACCCCGACCAGGGGGCGCGCTCTCTCTTTCTTGGGGGCCTGGCGGGCGTTGCTGAGACCGGCTTTCCAGGGCACATCTTTCTGCTTGTCAGACACTAGGACACAGAGGAGAGGCCAGAAGCACCCTCGTTCTTCTCTCCAGGGGCTTCGCTTTCTCCTACACGCCCCGCTTTACTTTATCAACTTTCCCCTGTCCCTCGTCCGAACCAAGAGCAACGCTGCGTGCGGACCCGGGGCGCTCAGGCCCACGAGCCCCTGCGGGGTCCATCCTCGCAACTTCTTTGCGGTTGGATGGAGAAGGTTGGGCGACCAGAGAACACCCATCCCCCGCCCCCCAACCGCCCAGCCCCCGGCCGGCACCGAGATCCGAGCAGGCGCAGCCGAGAAGCCAAGCCCCAGTTTGCGGCATCGGGGACTGTGGGCACGGCCCGCGCTGTGGCCACTCAATGGGCCCCTCTGTTCCTCCCCCAGCGCGGCGGAGAGCGGGCCCGCGGGCGCCGCCACAATGGGGCGGCCCCCACTCCTGCGCGCTGCGCCAAAGCGCTGAGCCACCCCCTCCCCTGCGCTTCGGCCGGCTCGCAGCTTAGCTCGCCGGGCTGCAGCCGACTCAATCGCCTCCTTTATGTCCTACTCACTTTCATCTAGACACAGCCCGCCCCCCTCCTCTTTTTTTTTTTTTCCTCCCTTGCCTGAGGCTCACATTAGTGAAATTTCTGCAACCTCCCCCCATTTTTTTTCTTATTTTAAAGAAAGCCCTTAACACAAAAGCAGTGACTAATCAATAGAAACTGCTCCTTCATCTCCTCCTCCTCCTCCTCCTCCCTCTTCCTCCTCCTCCTCCAGCAGGGTGACGCTTTTCCTGTTTGTGCGTTTTGGGAAACATTTTTGCTTTGTGCTGTAATGGAATCAGAGGACAGATGAGGACTGTAAATGGACACGCGACAGCAAGACTCTCGCTTAAATATTTAGATGCAACGTTACAATTACTGACTTGTTGCAGCAACTTTGAAGTGGCGGCTCGAGGGTGCAGGGGGAGAGAGGCCAGATCGCCAAATCGATGTTTTGATTGGGGCTGGAGAGACCCGTCCGCAGGACTTTTCCCGCTTCTGAAATCACCAGTGAGCGTGGGAGGTTTCCAACAGTTTCAAAGGTTGAGCTAAGAGACCCCAAGCATAAGTCGGTTGGCGCTTATACTCCTTTGATATCCCCCCCTTCCTTTTTGACGTTTACGAACAACACTGTTGGTTTTTTGATTTGAGAAAGTCAAAGTGAGAAAAGTTTTGCTCGAGTCCCCGTTCTGTTTGTAAACTCGTGAGCTTTTCTGAAAATTAATGAGGACGACGTCAGCTTTCTAGCGGGGCATAGATAAAGCAATTAAAAACGCAGAAGAGCTTTAAAGGTCCTTGAAGTATTTCATTTCCAGTGGAATTATGAAAAGTGCACTTTATCATTAACGGGAGCGCCACTGAAATCCGGGGGCCGGAAGGCCGTTTCTTCCCCCCGAGTCAGCAGGCAAGGACATTTTGGCGGGAGGCAAGGGGGTGGGGAACGAACTCTCCCACAGATGAAAATCATGGGGTATAAGATCTGAGGATTGTGGCATCGGGACCTTGATTAAAGTGGACAGCCCACTCTCCAAGTCTATTTGTCAGAATCACGAATTCGACCCGTGTCGTATAATTCTTTCGAGTCAATTTCATATTTTCCCGAGTCCTTGCAACACTCAACGATACATTAAAAAAATGTATCAGAAATATCAGAACGTGACTTAAATTAGAACTCCACGCTGCGTTCTTTTCAAGAACGTAGAGGTAGCGATTTTCCTGTTGGAACGAGGGAAAAGGAAGCGCCAGAGTTCGGATGTCGGTTTTTCTTTTTCGCGCGTTTGTTCTGTTGGGTTGACTGCTGTATGTTTACTCTCTAGCCTTATCGAAAGCATGCAGATTTTCTAATTAATGCTTGAAATCGTATGTTTATTTGGGGGCTTGATTTGATTGTTGATAGCACCGGAACGGGGGCGAAGGGGCTTCAAGTGCGTAATGATTACTGAAGGGTCATTTAAGAGTCCCCAGGGCTGCGCAATAAATCCCACGCGGGCGGTGAGGCGGAACCAGCAAGTGCGCCTCGGTTCCGGAGGGTGCGATATGTGGAAATCGGTGGATAGGAGCGTTGCCACCGAATCCAGTGTCAACGTCTTCGAACACATATATTTTGAGGACAAAAACAAAAACAGAATCCTTCCTCACAGTGAGGTTAAATGTTTAAGTTGTGCGTAAGTTAATAGCCAGTGAAAATTTTTAAAAAACGCCACTACAGCGACAAACCTACAAAAGATGTAAGAGAGTTTGTGCAGGGCTGGAGCGGAGAAGGTTCTGTTCTGTGGGGTTCTACCGCAGGTAACTTATTTATGAGGGTAAATAAAGATTAAAGAACCATTAAGAACGTAGATATAGAACTAACAAGACACTAAAAGGCAATTAAGTAGTCAGTTTAATGCCTTATCTCTCTGGCTGCTCTGGGGTTGTTTTACAACTAGGAATTAAAATCTGA